CAGTAAAAATGCTAATAAAAGATTAAAATATTGAAATTAAATGTAATTGAATACAACTGAAATTTTTAGAGAGCAATATGTAATTCAAATAAGGCAACTGTGCAATCTGCTGATGCTTGTTTCAAGAATACTTGATCAAAAATTTACAATAGCAAAATATAAAATCAGTACTATGCTCATAGCAAATACGAATTCAAATATAATATTAGCAGCAGAGCAATACAAAATCGAAGTCACTTAATACAATATTCATAATATTAAATACTGAAATACAACCCCCCCTCAAAAAGCCACCATACACACCAGCACAGACTGGCTGAGAAAACACTCTTAGTACCACCCCGCCTCAGCGTTTCCCTTTCCAGCAGAAAACACAGCGGAGAAAGAAAAAGGCCCGGTTTCGGGTCCCCACCCAGTGTGGGGCAGCTCCCGGCTTGCTCCCATTGAGCTGCCTCTCCCCTCTCCAGGGAGAAATCTGCAGGGAGAACACAGAGAGCCCCGCTCTGGTCTGTGGCGAGTGAGATGCCTGTCATGCGCACACATGGCAGTGGCTCTTTCACGGACCAGCAGGAAATGCCAGCGAACTGGTGCCGGTCTGTGGGCCAGCAGTTGCAAACCACTGCTCTAGGATGCAGCTAACCAGGTCCTGGAAATTTAAACTCATTCAAAGCAAGGAGGTGTTCCCCAACCCATTAATTTCAAACTACAATCCTGGCCCTTCAGTTTTACTTCACCTTTGCTAGGATGGTCATAGACCTGCTTTTCAGTAAAGAGTGAGCTAAAGTAGGAATTCTCCCCCCCCCCCCCCCACCGCCCATTGGTCATCTGCTATCATTTTGTGATCCTCACTGACTAGCTGAACCACCATTTATTTTCTCTGTCTTTTACTATGCATTCATTTGGAAAAGGCTTTTCTTTGTTGTTGCTTTTAGCATCTCCTACTAACTTCAGTTCATTCTCAGCTTTAGCCTTTTGGCCCTATTCATATAATTGCATTCTTTATTGTATTCAGAGTGCAGTGTTGCATAGAGAAAGAAGTACAGAGCAAAATACTGAGAAGAAATGATAAGGTCCTGTGGTCAATTATAAGGCACATTTTTCAAAACAGAAGACAGAAAGGGGAAAGTAGGAAGTATTACAGAATAATTAATTCTTATGGAAAATTCTTCTCTTACAAATATTTTACATCTTAAAAAGGGAATTTTAATCCCTCAAATATTAGCAAAATGATTCTGCATTTTTTTAAAAGTTATTATTTTCTTTCTTTGCTTGAAGAGAATATCCATAACAGTATATTTCCTTAAACTAAAGTGAACATCTCTCACTCGCTTAGGAGTACATACAGCAAGAATCAAGCTACACATTTTGCTAATTATGTAACATGTAACTGATACTATGCTTTCTTTCTAAAGAATAAGGGAACATGATCTTGATTCAGCCGGTACTCAGAGGGAAGGAAAAATTATACCCGCCCCCACCATATATTTGTTCCCAAAATTCTCTGTATGTGCACATGGGTTAAGTTTTCATTGGCTTGGAGGCGTCTTCCTTTGATTTCCACATGGAAGAAGGCAAGAATTTAGAGAAGCTGGGGAGGGGTGAATTTAATTCTCCCTAGTGATAAGCTTGCACAATAAGCTCAGATATTTCTGAATGATGTGCAGACCTACTATTGCATAAGAAAGCAAGAGAGGGGTCAGCTACTCACCACCTAATTAATGGGCCATGTAACTTGTTCCCAAGTCGAAGTCCCCAAGAGCACTGTACTTTTTAAAGTCTACCTGTCCCTTCAGTGCACTCATAATTTTCCTTCTCACGCTCAACAGGATTGTTTTGACCTTGAAAATGCACAGCCTACTTAGCAACACAAGTGCCTGGACAAAGCTGCAGTTTAAACAACCACCTGGCCCTAATTAATTTCCAAGCACAACTCAAACACCTTTAATCTAGCATCAACAAGCCAGGACAAGATTATAATAAAACCACATGGACCTCAGAGAGGCAAAATCAGTTCCTTTCTACCTTTAACATCATTTATGTTTGTTTCTATAATTCATCAATATATTAGATTATAGTAAAACACACTTAAAACAGAAAAGGTGCAGAGAGAAGAAAATATTGCACACATCATTCTGCTTGCCTCCCTGTCAATATCTGCCTTCAGAAGAGTCCTGCCAAATCAGTTTACAAGTCCGTCTAATCAAGCATTTTCTTTGCAACTGTGGTCACTCAGATACTTCAATAAAATCCAATACCACCCATCATCATCATCATTGTTGTCATCATGATATAGTGCTCCTAGATTTAGAGTTTACATTCAGTTATCTTTAATAGATCTCTTCTTTTATTCCTATGTTTAAACCTTTTTATGCTAGGTTTTCATGAGACCGAGGCAACTCACCATCATTAGAGCTTTCCCAAACCCTACGCAAAATGCCAAGGCTTCTCCACACAACTAATGTGCATTTGAAGGTTGCCTCCATTTCAGGATTTGCATCTGATGTCTTGATGTCACAGCACCAGTCACCTCTTGGCTGAACATGGAACAATAGTAGTAAGGAAATCCCAATGAACTTAACTGGGCCTATTCATATGTAACCATGAATAAAATTGAACTGTAAGCATTCTCTGTGTGGGGAGGTAGAATCCATGGAAGACATCTTAAAAGACATTTAAGAAATATGGAGGCTCTGGTCCATGAAAATTATTCCCATCGCCAATCCTATTCCCAAATAATGGATGCATAGGAAACAATTTGGGGGAGGAATTATCCCTGGAACAAGACATGGCAGCAAATTAACTGGGGAGTGGCTGGGAGGTGATAGATGGCGGGAAGAGATGGAGAGGAGTTAGCAGGCCGAGTTGTGAATCTTGTCCATGAGGGACCCTGTTGCCCTCATATGCGGTGGACAGTATCCCATCACCATTGTTGACCTAAGTGACCATCAAGGTAAGTGTTGGCTGTGAAAGGCAAAAGGAAATTCCAACCCACCAGGCACTGTACTTCCTTGAGAGGGAGGGCAAGGAACTGCAGCTGTAAGTCATGTGGGGGGTGGAGAGAAGCCTTTTTCATCTGGCTCCTTTTCCCCATTTGGGGCAGGCAAAGAAGAGGAGTGAGCTTCAGCCTGTTGCTGAAGTTTGTTCTCATCCATGACCATCCCAAACAGCAGGCAGGAAGCTGAGACTGGCTCTTCTTCCCCTTCTTTTCATCCCTGCATGTCCTTTCAGGCCAGCACTTTCAGTCCCATTACCCCACTGTCAAGCAGCAATGCCATGGGGCGGGGGAATGGGGTAGGGGTGCCGAGTCCCCCTGCATGCTCTCCTCATTAAAATTCTTTCTCCACTGCATGCCACCTCCCAGGCCCCAAGGTTGAGTGAGCCCGGTTTCCCAGCACTGGGAGCAAAGCTGAGGGAGGTCAATGACATCTGAGCAAAGGATCATTTGGGCACTTCATCAGCTGTCATTGACTAAAGTTGGCCAGCAAGGCAATCCTTTTTTGCTGCTATGTCCAAGGGGCTTTATAGCCTTTGGGTTCTGACAACCTGCTAAGCCACGGTGGTTTTACTAGACCCAACAAACTATGGCTACTGAGGGTAATTTACAAGCCACCCCCCAAGAAGTGGCTGGCCAAACCTCTTGTCATAGTTGGTGTTCTGCAGAAACCCTGTCCATGCGACCATTATTGTAGGAGGACAGCTGCCCCTACCTTTTCTCCCCATTAAGTTACAGTACTGTGGAGGTGACAACTATAACTCATAGAAGAGGTCAGTTTTGGGAGAACCTTGCTATCTACAGGTGTGATGATCAAACAGCCCCCGCCCGGGGGGTGGGGGAGCCCTCAGCTGTGTTTCTCTGGGCTTTGGCAGGAAAATATCTTCTGGGGAATTGGGGATTGAATCGAAACTAAGTAAGCACTCTTTAAAAAAAAACATGCTTGTATTTTGGAGGAAAGCAACCCGTTGCTAGTGAGGAGATCCAGCTAGCACTCCTCCTGTGCAGAATCCTGAAAAGAATTCAACACACACACACCTGCCTCCTCCTCCTCCCAGAGCTGTGCTGCTTCAGGGAAGGAGATCAGAGAGGGTCAGGTCAGATCTCTCTCTGGGTGGTTTAGCCTCAGGCCATGCATTGGGCTATGGTGCTGCCTCGGAGATTCCTTTCAAGGGCAGCACCTTTGCGCTTATCATCCCTGCCTTAGTGGACCTAAGAGGGGGAGAAAGCGGCTTCCCCAAGTCCACCCATACACGCCACCCGCATCAGAAGCGCCCCAGCTCTGGCGAAGAAGGCTGCAAGGAAGGGCGTCAAGGGACTTCCTGGCCAGGCCTAGTGGGGCACAAGGGGTTGCCTCTCCCTGCCCCCTTTCTAGCCTGTGTTCCAGAGCAGAGAGCGTGATGTTCTCGGGAGCAGCGGAGCCACTGCCTGGTTGCTGCTTTCCCCTTCAGAATGGAAATGCCTTTGTTTTTCAGAAGGCCCAATGAAGAGAGCCTGCCGTCGGGCCCCAGCTTGGGCTACAGGAGAGCTGCCGCGTTGTCGCCCCCCAGCTCTCAGGCCCTTGTCGGGCGACGGGCGCTGGCCACCGCCACGGTCTTAGGAGGCCCACAACCCCCAGCGTGTAAGTTGCAGGCCTGCGGAGGTGACGGCTCACACTTACAATGAAGGAGAGGCTGCTGTGAGGGATCCCCTTCGGGGAAGGCAGCGGGAGGAGACCCTCCGTTCCCCCAAAGAGCTGAGCAGGAGAACGACCCCAGCGCCTCCCCCCCCCTCCGCTTGAGCTCGGCTCCTTGGCGGGAAAGTAAGTTTCAAAGGCGAGCCGAACTTCGGAGCGTCGCGCCTTGGGCGAAGCGCAACACCGAAGGGGAGGAGGTGGGACTCAGGGGCTGCTCGCCCTTCTCCCTTCCCCAGCCGCCTTCCCCGGTGACGTTGTGGTCTCCTCCCTCTGGCGGAGCTCCGGCGCCTGCAAAAGCCCTTCGGCGCTCCGCGCGGCCCCTGCCTCTCACATCCGTCCAGGCGCCCAGCTGCCCGTCCCGCGGAGCATCCTTCGGCGCCCAGGGACCAGAAGCTCGCCCGCCCAGCATGGGTGCCTGACCACGGGCGGCGGCGGGGCACCCGGCGGCGGCTTCCCTCACTCCAGCGGCTCGACCTCTTGCCGCCATGGAGTGAGTAACGCTGCGCAACGCCAGGCTGGAGGAGAGGTAAGGACGAGGAGCGGCGGTGGGAGGACGCCGCCTGCGCCGCCACTTTTTTTCCACCCAGGCGTGGACGGCCCCGCCAGTTATGCGGAAACTTTGCTCGGCCCTGCGCTGGAGGGTCGAGGTTTGGGGAAAGGAAGGGTCGCTTCTGCAGACGCGCGGGGGACGGCGGGGCCTTTTCGGCACCGGGTCAGCGCGCTCTGCAGACGGCCAGAGATACTTTCTCTTGCTTGAGGACACGCGAGGGATTGGTCGGTGGTGGCTGCGGCGGTGGGTTCGCGTCCCAGTTCAAGCCTTCGTGCCGTGGAATAGGGAACTGAGAGACTGGCAGAGCGCTACCAATGATGCTTTGCAGTTGAGAAAAAGCCCGGTTGAGCTTGCTTAGGAGAAAACATGCCTTGCATGAGATTGTAGCGAGGAGTGAGTCCTGGCCCGGGAGATAGGTGGGAGATCCGTGCCACTTCGGCTCAGGATCCGGCTAGTCAGCCACTTGAGCCCGGTAGTGCCGTGGACGATACGAAGAATGCAAGGAGTTAACTGGGCTCCGTCTTGATTCTTCGCTCACTCCTGTCTGCCCAGCATGCTCCAAGAGCAAAACGAGGAGAGTTACCCGCCGTGAAGTTCAGCAAATTTGAAGTTTATTTTGAGAGGCCCAAGGTTAAGTTCTTGTCTTTTATTGGGGGGTGGGTAATGAGTTCACCACAAAGGGCAAGATTGCGGTGTAACTTACAACGAGCCATGCACATTTATAGCACAATCCTACTCATGGCTACCTAAAGCAAGTCTTGTTGTGGTTCACAGGACTTACTCTCTGCTAACCATGCTTTTGGACTGACCATTTCACCCTTGATACCAAAAACAGAAAACAATCCTCTTACGCCTGCTTGTGTCATGTGTGAATTGTATGACACCCAGCTTAAAGCAAGTTCCAATGAATTCAGTGGGCTTTACTCCTGAGTAGACATGCATAGGATTGTCCTGTAAATGTACTGCCTAAATTTAGCCAGAACAGGAGTTCCACAGTTTTGCACATTTTTGCAAATCAATTTTATGCATGAATCTTTGGAAATAAATATGGATAGGTTTGCAATGCCTGTAGGTTCATGGAAGAGGGCCAAATTTGCTTTATCTGTCTATGAAAAACATCTGTGAGCCAATCCAACCACTTTCATGAGCAAGCCCAATAAGTCTACCCTATTAGTGCACTTGCCCTTTGTAATTATGAACAGTATTCTATTCATCAATTCTATAGTAGTTGCAATCAAAATCATAGATATAAACTAGGTAGCGGAGAGAATTTATATTTTACCACTGTTTTAACAAGCCTGACTGTATGAACAGAGGCCAATAAAACTCTCTAAGGGGAGAAGTAAGGCTGTTATCCATATACATTTACCTAGGACTAAGGCCTGTTTAAATTAATATATTTTGAATAACCATACATAGTATGACACTGTTTAATCTTTCTTGTGTGGACTTGAGCCTAGCTTTAATTTAGATATTCAAAGGTTTGGATTCTTTATATACCATTAAAACACCTCTTAATGAGCACCTCTGACTTGGACAGAGTGAATGAATGAAAGTGTATGAATGAAAGACAGGAATACAGGAGTTCCACACATACACACAGTACAATAAATAAAGGAAGGTATATGTTCAGGAATGCTGTTTTAAATGCACCTGTATCATATTTTTGAGTCACTGACAATATAGGGAGGTAGATTTATAATCATAGTTCAACTTTCCTACAATGTTTGTGTCACCTGTATTCCATCTGACAAGCATTCCCTTTCTTCCTCTTTCACTTCCTCTATGGAAACCTCTCTAGTAGCAGGTCCATTGCTACTCTGAATTTAAGGAAATGTGCCACCATATCTTTTGACCCTTCAGGCATAGATTCTATTGCAGTAACCCTGATAGAGGGGAAAGAAACTCCACCTTACTGCAAGTAGAGCAAAATGTAAAGGTACATGTTCACCTGGTAGTCTGCCTTCCTGTCCTGTGATCTGCTTCTAACTTGTCTCACATTGTGTGCCCTTTTAAGTGCAATTCTATGCATGTCTACTCAGAAGTAATAATTGGATCCAATGAGACTTATTCCCAGGGAAGTAGGTATAGGATTCTGTCCTCAAACTACTCTTTTAAAAGTATTACTTTCCATTAATATGTCTGGTAATCTCTTTCAAAATGAGAATTGATTGAAGGACTCAATTCAAGATGTAATGCTACTAAGATTTGCACATATTGCAAAGTAACAAAGCAGAGTAGATATTTATAGGCAAGTACTTTTGTTGTTTTCTGTTTCTAATTATTGCAAGCATTTGTAGCAATGCAATGAAATGCATTCTTCCTCTGAGGACAACATTGCATAATGGTAAATGTAGAAGCATACTCACACTGAGGGTGCATTCTGGGACCAAGTCTATCAACTTAGTGGGACTTCCAGTGCACCTGTATGGGCTTGTGCTGGATTTTCTAGAACTCCTACCTATTTCTTCCTTCCAATAGAGGCATCACTGTATAGTGCCCTGATTTCATTTTGCACTGAAGTCAAAATACTGTCTTCATAAGCCTTCCTAACCAAGGAATTTACATCTTGTATGTTCAGCATTATTAATGTTAAGTCACACAAAGTACGCATCTGTAGAAAAATCTGAAAGGAGAAGTGTAGAAAGCCAAGTTGTCACTCTCATTAATATTTTGGGACAGCTAAGCAGAACCAAACAATTGAGATACTAAGATTTGAGCACTGCTTAGCACTTTCCAGGTTGGCATTGAATACTGCAGGAAAGACTCGGAGAGAAAGGAACCCTGGCGATGAAGGCATGCACAAACAGGGCAGCCATTCATCATTTGGAATCTCTTTGGAACAATGTCTTGCTTTCCAGTGTGGCCCTTGATAGGTAGGTGGAGCTTACTCCCACTCTTTCTTTCCCCATCCCCACTTCCCCGCTCCTTTAGTACTACACAATACCATTTCTTTGCTTCACAAAAAGAAAGGTAAAATTCAGTGCCAGTGAAGAAAAATTATTAAAGCTGCCAGAAATGCAAAAAAAAAAAAAAAAAAAGTAAATCTGTCAAAAAAAAAAAAAAAAAAAAAAAAAGTGGATTTCTGTGCAGAAATTGGGCCCAGGACAGAGAAAATTAAACCTAAGGGCTTTTGCTATCTCAATTAACTGATCAGACCTGCAATCTCAGGCATATTAACTAGAAAAAAGTTCCATAAACCCAGTGGGAATTGACTCTGATAATGAGTGGTTCTACTTTTGAAGAGACACGGGTGTTCATAACGTCCGTGGAGTGATCTCATAATCCTTGTATGGGGCTGTTCTAGTGAATGCATTTTATAAGTGTATACAGCATGAGATGTCTTATACTCACGAGGAGCCATTGCTTTGGGGGCAGGGTGTAAAAGGAAAAGTTTCTGTAGATTAACAAAACAGCAAGAAACAAACAGCAAAGTCCTGCCTTCTGTTTTTACTGGACACATTGTGGGTTGGAGGAAGAGTTCAGCCAGGACAAGAATATTTTGTGAAGGAGCCCTGCACAAATTGAATACAGGACTCCTGTATAAACAAGAAAACCTTAGTATAAGTTTGTAGTAGGATGCGTGTTCGATTTGATATGTTTGCATTTCATTTACACTCAATACTAAACATGTTCAGTCAGAAATATACCCCACTTATCTTAATTTCTCAGGCTGCTCTGTGCTATATTGTAAAATTCTTCAGATAGAACTTTGCCTGAATTGTTTTGCCACTGATGAAAATATTCACATTCCACACCTACTTCACAAGAGTCTTCTAACATCATTAGGTAAACTGACATCACGCTAAATCACATCCCTCAAAGCTCTATTGCTTTCATTGCAAAAGCCAAATGCCATCCAGTTTAACTTTGAAAGAGAGCCTAGTATCGGCATTATCAGCTTTTCCCACAAATATTTGTTCTGCTTTTCCTTCATCATGCACTGGGGTACAATTTCTACTTACCATGTATCCAAATGATTACCAGCCTTAGGAGAGTGGGTAAAAATTCAGTGGCATAGTAAATTAAATTATCCTGTGCTCTCATAGTATTGATTACCAGCAGAAATTTTACCTCAGAAATACAGTTTGTTTGCCTTAGCTGTCTCATTCTTTCCATCACCCCTCAATATTTATTGTTATTAGTAGTCTTGGGGTCAGGCTCCCTTCACCCCACTTTAGCCCTGGCAGTGAGCAAGAGAAAAACCAAGCCTTCCAGTCGAAGTTCTGGAATGGAGGAAAAGCTGAACCTGCCTTGTTCTCTTTCATGCTGCATCCATGACAGGATGTTCAGGTTACATCTGGTAGTCATTCTTAGTGGCAAGGCACAGTTTAGAAATAAAGAACAGAGATACATCCTTTTCTTTGAAGATAAGCAGAAGAGCTAAAAGATGACCATTGGTTTCTTAAAGCAGCATAATAATATTTGATACTTACAGATTCATAAGTATTACTGAGAATCTTATGTGTGCTTTAACACAGTAATTAATTTACTTAATTTTAGTTCAAAAAATAATCACATGCACATTCACTAGTGCACTTCTAACTGTATTTAAACTCCTCAAAAGATGTATAAAATCTTCATATTGCTCTGGTATTTCTGATTTGCAAAGCAATGGTCAAATCACCCAGACAGATATTTACACTGAATTTTGCAATTGACAATTATTGTAAATTTGTGAAATGTTCTGTATCATGCTAATTATTTTGAGTACCTACATCAGCCAGGATGATGCAGATTACTGTAACAATTTAGATAAAGGGTGGGCAACCTCCAGGGCCAGTTTGGGAGCCTGTTTCCCTCCCCCAGACACCTGCTGCTCAAATTTAGCAGGGGGAAGAACCTGAGTAATTTCCTTTTAAAATAAAGTGTAGGGAGCACATGCCTTGTTTTAAAGGGAAGCTGTCATAGCACTTTCCCCTGCTGCTGTGGCACTAAATTATGTGTGATATGGGTTGCATCCTGCCTATTCCTGA